TAACTGAACCGAGGAGTTGGATCAAGCTAGTGGTCTTGTTGGTAAATTTGAAAGGTTAATCCACAGGGAAACCACAGCATAGATGATTAAGAAATATTGAAATTAGAGAGGATATCATCGAATTCAGCCTATACATAGAGTAAAAACATAGGCCAGTGAATAGAATAACACTAAGTCCATTTTTATAAGCATCATATAGAGTACTAACAATAAAGATGACTTAACTGACTTGTCTGCTAGAAGAGGGCGATACTCTGGACCGTGGAAAAGAACCTAGAAGATTTGAATTTCACGCATGATGACTTGTGTGTAATGTCTCACAGACTTGAAGATCTACATGCGAGAACCAACAAGTTGACAGGGCAGCGAAGACGTGGCTTCAAGTGAACGTAGAGAAGACGGAGGTGATGAAGATACCCAACCAACACCACCACCACCGACAGCAACAACCTCCAATCATCATCAACGGGAGAAGCTTAGGGGAAGTAGTCTCTTTCACCTATCAACCAGGCAGCACCGTTTGAACTACAGGTGGCGGCATAGACGAGGACGTCAAAGGATCCGTCAGGATCCGAAAAGCAAGACAGGCTTTCATTAGTCGAAAATCAGTGTAGAGATCTGCACTCAGTATAAAGTGTAAACAACATCCGGATTTTCAACACCAATTCAGTCAACTCAGTGCTTCTATATGGCTCAGAAACTTGGCGTGTCGCAAAAAGCATTCCCAACAAACTACAGATATTCATCAACAACTGCCACATACGCTGGCTCCTTACCGAAGGTCAGATGGCCAGAATATTAAGAATAAGCAAGGAGGAACTCTGCCCGGCAACCAACCAACGAGGCAAGAACCTATCACTCAACAAGTATACAGGAGAAGAGAGTGAAGATGCATTGGGCATACACTGACAAGGCTGAGTGGGGACATCACGCCCTAGATCAGGCACTCAAGTGGAATCTAGATGGGAAGCGATGAGTTGGGCGTCCGTGGTGTGGGTGACATGGAGGGGATGGTGTGAGGAAGAAATGAGAGGTTGTGGGCTGTCGTGGAGCCAAGTTCAAAGCTTTTCAGAGAACAGAGCACACTGGAGACGTGCTAGTGAAGCCCTATGTCCCACTACGAACTCAAGGGACAAATAATATGATAAATATAACTCACTTGTCAACTTTGTGGGGATATTCAATTTAACTCACAATGCACTGTGGTTGTGAGTCACCTAATTTACTGACTGTACTACACAATGATCTATTGAATTCAGTGGAAACTTACGACTAGACAACATGAAAATCTTAAGGATAACCAATCAGATTGCAGACGATCCACATCAAGGTCATTTGTATTAATACTGTATAAACTATTGATGAATTATAACGGATCGAATTGTTCGACTTCTATTGGCATATCGGCTCCTATGCGGATACCTCGATATTGCCTGAATATGGGAACAACATCACTTGGCAGTGGGGTGAAGTTACATCCAGTTGACGAGTCCCAAGTAGGTCGAGATGAGCAGCCTGAATTCTTCTACTAGCCGTAACCAAGACAAATTATCATGATTAACATTCAAGCAATATCGAGGTATCCGCATAGGAGCCCATATGCCAATAGAGGTCGAACAATTCGATCCAGCACAACAAGCAACAGAGAATAACAAGTATGTGAATAAATAGTAATAACTACTATCTGTTGTACAAGAACTGGCTATCGTTCCTCCGTGGTATAGTGGAGGAAGCGATGGGTACGAGGTTCGAATCCCGGTGGGAACAACATCATTCTTCACTGAGGTGCAGGTACATCTAGCTGATGAGTTCCAAATAGGACGAAACACGCGTCCTCGATTCTTCTATTAGACACAATCAACCAATTTAGGACAATACATTGTTGGTTAATTATAAAGAGATGGATTGTTTTGGAAAAGTTCAATCTATGAATAGTCTAATGTGATGAATTGGTATACCTAACCGAGGAAGACAACTCAGACATGACATGGTCAGTTAACTTACATACATCTGCCTTAATATATCACAGATGCTGAGTAAATACAATTGAAACATAAACTTTCAGCAGCATGTCTTCATTTCACTCTGTTCTCTAAAGTCCTCTTAACCTGGTTCCACCACTCCTCATAACCTTTCATTTCTCCCTCACACCATCTCCTATATGTCATGCCCAACTCGTCGTTTCCCATTTGGCTGCCACTCGACGGCCTGTCCTGGCACGTAATGTCTCCAAACCATCTTCTCAGTATATGTCCAATCAAATCCATCTCCATTCTCTCCTACTGCATATTTGTTGTCGCTTAGTCGGTTTGTTGTCGGGCCAGAGCTCTTCCTCACTTATTCTTATTATTCTGGCCATCCATTTGATCTCCATCTTCAGTATTGAGTGAGCGTAGGCGGTAGCTGTTTATGTACGGTGTCTTCGGTTTGTTGGAAATGCTTATTGTGATACACCAAGTCTCTCAACTATCACATAGAAACACTGACTCACTTGACTGACATGAATGTTGAAAATCCGGATCATGTTCACGCTTTACGCTGAGTGCAGTGCAGTAGATCTCTACACTGATTTTAGATTGATGAAAGAACGGCTGTCTTGCTGTCTTTCTGATCCTGTCTAGCTTTGACATTGTCATCTGTGCCTGTGCCGCCATCTGTAGTTGAAACGACGTTGCCTAAATAGGAGGGTGAAAGAGACAAATTCGTTTAGCTTTCTCCTATTCATCGTGATTGGCGCTTGTTGTTGTTATTGTTGGTTGAGTATCTTCATCATCTGTGTCTTCTCTGCATCCACCTGAAGGAAGTTCCGTCTTCGATGCCTGGCCTCTTCTGCCAACTTGTTGGTTTTCACCTGTAGGTCTTCAGGTTTGTGCGACGTAAGACAGTAGACAAAAATCATTCGCCTTGGTGTAATCCAAAATGTTCTAGGGTCTTTTCATCGGCCAAATAGTTTGTCTTATGATCCAGTCGAGTCGAGTAGACCACAATCAGGAAGATTATCGGTGATAGTAGGCGACAACCTTGTCTTACTGCTGTCTTCACTTCACTTCAAAGGCATCATTGAGCTTTTCACTGTGTTGTGAATCACTTGGCATGTAGCCTCATCATATAGCTGTTGAATGAGATTGATAAAGGTTAAATTATCAGTGGCTAGCCGAGAGAAACTACACGTAACAAAACAACAGCTGTTCTGCATCGCACAAGACGTAGGTATCGTACCCTAGTGGCCTCGTGGATAACGTCTCGATGTTTGAAATAGTGGGTAATTGATACAAGTCTCACTAGGAACAGCATCAATCCTAACTAGGGTGAAGGTACATCTAGCTGACGTATAAGTCTCAAATGGGACGAAATGTGCATCCTGGATTCCTCCACTAGTCATCAAGATGAATGTATTAGAGGTCACAGTTTCCAAAATTCAAATTTATATCTCCCAGTTTTTGAAATGACATCTCGAGAGTATGGTGTATTCTGTATGTGTTTCATACCTACGGTCATGGGAAGACACTTAACATATAAATGAGTATTTTTCATACACATACTCAACGCAATTATTATCATACCTGAACAGGTTCCACTAGATCTCTGGAATTATCTACATGGTGTTTCTAATGGATAATAAGTATTCTACTGAAACAGCAGTCATTGGAGTCAGACAGCTAGAAGTCAGATCATGTGAGTAGACAGTCAGACTACTTGTACAACAGAATGGAGTGTCTGATTCCATCATGTCTAACACAGAATGAAGCACGGTGTTCTGAGTTCTGACTTTCATCTGCGAACCTGAATTGATCCAGCTTAATTACTGGTAAAAAGCCTATAGAATACACGAATATTTCAGGTTTTCCTACCTCTAAGATAGAATCGTGCGAATAATAATAAAATTTGTATTGGGAATATTGCGAGTAGTTACATGGCAGGACGTCAACATGAAGGAGCTCTAAGCGGAGTTGAATATTCACCAATACAGTATCAGTATGACTAGGAGGTTAATTTGGTCGATGAGGTGCAGGTTTGCAAAGCACAGCCAGCTTGGTCAGTCGTCAAGATTCTGCCTGGAGGTTTGAGAGCGGTGCAGCCAAAACGTAAGGTGAATTCAGCTTCTTAATTCCAGTAGTCAGCGGGATGTGTGGTTTTTCTTGCGAAGGTAGCTGGTAAGCTGTCCGTTAACCCGAGTGTCCTTGGTTTAGCCTTGGTGGTAAAGGTAGGCCAGGAGGGGCTTCCATATGCGAATAGTCATTCCAGGAGACAAGTTGCATGTCTTCTGTAAGACTGCGAAGACTCAGTGAGAAGTATCTCACGCATGTCTGCCTGAGCATAGGTGAGTACAGATGAGTACGGACCTGATTACTCGTGGAAGGCCTACAGTTGGGAGAATTTTAGGATTACAGTGATATGTTTGCAAGAGGAGGTTAACAGAGTACTCTCACAGGAGTGTTTGTTTTCATTTCGATGGTTCTTGGTTAGTGAGGAGCAGAAAATTGGAGTAAAACTCTCTCTTATGATGAGAACATCGGTCATGAATAACTAGAGTATACATTCTTACTCAGAACAAGAAAACAGTGATAATATATGACTACCAGTTAGAAAGTTTAACTTTGTCCTATTTTGAACTCGTCAGTTACATATATATCTTCACCCTAGTGAATAGTATTGTTTCCAGTGGGACTCGAACCATGTAGGTACTTCAGTCATTAAGACACCCATCCACTAGGCTACTAGGATATAGTTAACCTATGGATCTATGTTCAATGTATCATCCAAATAGAACTTTATCTCATTCATCTCAAATCAATATGATTTGTTGAGTGCATTCTAGACATATATATATATAGCAGAAATATGCAAATTTTCATTGATTGTAAAAGCTAACCAATTGATGGTAAGCACTTTCAGTGAAATTTTTATTTATACTAAAAACATCACTATTGTAAAGTTGTTTTTCTTCATAATCATAAGAAGAGTAAAATTGTATATACCATAGAGACAAGACATTTACAATGACTTCAGAAATATCATGGAACAATCAATCTTCATCAATATCATCTTCATCAACTTCTTCAACATCATTCAATGATTATTATTATTATGATAGATCACATCATTTACACTATCTATTTCGGTATCCTTATAAACATGTTGTAAAATTACAGAAATTGCAATCAACTCAAGAAACAGGTAATGTTTACAAGTTTTTCATGAAGGTGAATATATGAGTTAGTTGTTATCTCTTCAAGAAGAATCCTATTCTAGGATGAAATAGCTGATGTCAACCTATAATGAAGTCAATAAGTCACAGATAAGCCTTTAAAATGAATTACTGTTTCGAGATGAAGATGGTTAGTCAACATCGGGATTCAATGATCATCTCTGTATATCTGTTACATAATGACAAAAGTAGGCGTGTGAGAACAACTAAACTCTGACCAAGTGGCTTATCAAAAGTCCTGAAAGTCAATAGTTCGATCCCCGGAAAGCAAGATCTTAGGTACGCACTTGTAAAGATCCTAATACTAGACTGGAACACCTGTTCATTACTCTAAAGTTTTCAGTTATTGAATAAACTCTCCTTCCGTCTTCAGATATCATGTTGAATGTGGATTTTCTGACAATCATCTCCATGAAGTCCAGTAATCCTGACATTAACTTTACTTTCTGATGTCATATGTCAAAAAGTGTCTAGGAATTGGGTTGATTAGAATCTGATTCCCTTTTAAGGTTCTTTCAATCAACTTACCATCGTAACGTTATCATATTCGATTCGCTTAGAGCATATTCTTAATAATCTGTGCTTAAAAAGAGGTGAAATGTTATGTAATTCAACTGCCAGACGTCTTGTAGACACAAAACATCCGGTTAAAACTTTGAATACTTTGAAAATAACAATAAATGTAAAGAATAGATCAGGATGTCTGCAGTACATTGAAGCGAATGTACTAAAACGATTTCAACATGATGTGCATTGTTAAAATTTTCCTTTCCCTACATTTCTTACAGCTTCTGTACAAACAAGTGTCTTGCTTTATTATGTAGGTTGTTAATGATGTGTGAATGCATTACTATTATGTTTCCTTTGGGTTTCTAGTGGAACATAGGGCTTCAGTAGCACACCTCCATTCCGCTCTCTTCTCTACAGTCTTTTGAAACTCGCTTTACAGCTGCCCACAAGATTTCATTTCTTCCTCACACCATCCCCTACATATCAACCTCGCCATGGATGCCTAACTCGTCGTTTCACCTTTGGATTACACTCGATGCCCTGGCCTGGCCTGACGCGTGATGTCTCCAATCTGCCTTCTCAGTGTTTGCATGATCCATCTCCACACTCTTCTTGAGTACATTGGATGATAGGTTCTTGGTTGGTACGTTGCAAGCCAGAGTTCCTCCTTGCTTATTGTTATTATTCTGGCCATCCATCGGATCTCCATCTTCAGTATCGAGTGAGCGCAGGTGGCAGCTGTTGATGAATATCTGTAGTTTGTTGGAAATACTTTTCGTGACACGCTGTCTTTCTAATCCTGGCTGGCTTTGACATCCTCATCTGTGCCTGTGCTCCTGTCTATAGTTGAAACGATGCTGTCTAGGTATGTAGGTGAACAAGACAACCCACTTTAGATTTCTCCCGTTCATGGTGATTGGTGCTTGTTGTTGATGCTACTGTTGGATGGTTACCTTCATCAACTCTGTTCTCTCTACATTCTCTACATCTTGGAGTTTGTACGACATAAAACACATAAATCAAATCCAAATCTTCTAGACTCTTTTCATCAGTCCATCGTATGTACAACTTCCTAACTTTAAAATATCTTATATGCTAGTCACCATTACATCTTTAGATTGTATGCATACAACTGAAGAGTATTCACCTGAACGATGAGAACTTCATTCTTTTACCTTTAACAGAGTGATAGATTTTCAACTTAAAATATAATGTGTAGAACAATAGACAATTCTTTAAAAAAAATGGGTATTGTTTATCTATGGTTCTTTATTCATGGCCAATCACGTTCAAGTATGCCCTGACCAATCAGAATCAAGAATTTGAAGGACAAAATTATTAGTTAGGAAAAATGGTACCTAATCCTATCCATATGAGAGGCAATATCACTTCAATGATATTTAGGATATTGTCCTTCATGATCCTAGTAAAAGTCTTAGAAACTTTGTAAGACAACTCTACACATTTTCAAAGTTGTCTGTATGTACTCCAATTGTTCAATCTATCCTTTATCCATGGGAAAAAGGCCTTTTGTGACATATTTCGATTGTTATAACTTACCAAATCCTGTTCAAGTCATCTTCCTTGGTTATATTTAAGTTCGCTTAGAAGATATTCATCTATTTCAAACAGATTACCTACTCAATAAAATTTTCATTATAACAACATGGTAAACAGGCTTAACCGATGACCCTGAATAGGGTATCTGTAACCTGATTGGTTTTCCTTCAAGGTTGCTGGTCACTAGAGCTTAACTCTACTGGTACTTTTTTTAATTATCATGAAAACTGATCCACCTTTGTCTTTGTGTTTATTTTAAGAAGCTTATTCAGTATATTCTCCAGTGGGAAAGTAGGAGCTGACAATCGGGGGAAATCAGTCCACTAGAAAACCATCAGTAATATATTTCCCCTAGGGACATATAAATATCTCACTAGAATGCACCAGCATAGTAATAAGTATTACTTTTTTGTTGTATAGTTTGGGGGTTATTCCCTACTGGATATTAAGTAGGAAAAATCGATTTCGCATTGAAAATGAATGAAAGGAAATTCAATGAACAAAAGTTTCTTTTCGATGGATTATTTTCAAAATCTGTACAATCGTAGTCATACTTACAACAAAATATATATCCATTAATAATTGGCGGGTTGGGTCAAGGTCATCGAAAAGGTCAGTGATACAGCAAGGTCAAATCAAGGTCACTACTACATGCTTAGACAAAGATCAAGTTTTTAGTATTGGGTTGTTAGAGTTTCTGTTGTGTTGAGGTGGGGAGTATGGAATCGCTTCGAAGTGGTGGTCCATTTAAAACTAAATTTCACCTGGTCTATGCAATTGAGGTTAGTATTATACTTTAACAATGAAGGGTGTATACTTTACTTATAAACGACTATACCTTGTAAATCTACGTCGTTGATTGGAGTGAATTAATCGGTGACTATCGTCATTTTGGGCCCTGGAAAAGTAATTAGATCACATGTTAACTTTAAACGCATTGCTATAACTTCTTGTTTCCTGAAGACTATAGAGAAACTACTTCTCCTTGTGATTCAGCCTTCATTGATGGTTATCACAGACCCGAAACAATTTGCTGATTAACACAGGAGAAGTACTTTAGATGTTGTCAATGTCCTGCGTCATCAAAATATTCTTTCTAGTCCCGATGAAGGTGTTAAGTATGTTCGTTATGTCTTCTTGTGTAGTAGTAGTAGCGCAGGCGTTATTGAATTGAACGCCTAAATACTATATATAATCAGAAGTGTCTATCGTGAAAAGACACCTCTAATATATGGAAATTATTTAAAGAGGTTACTGGTAGGAAACAGATAATGAAAGACGCTTGCTCGCAACAACCTTTTTCGTACACCAACAAGCTGGTTTCATCCTTCTTAATATCCATAGTCAAATGGATAGCTGCTTACTTCGTTTTAATATAAACGGCGTGTTGAAATATGTTCACTCCTTCAGTCCATCCGAAAACCTACTTCCTGATGGTACTTTGAGTATTATGTCTACAAAATGTGAAAATATTTTATATCATCCTTTTACAGATATCTTTAATGCATCGTACTTGGAAGGAGATCGAAATTGTACCTTGTCGTGAGTCATCTTCTAGACAATATATTAAGTTTCGTTCCATTGCTATAACTTCCTCTTTCCTGAAGACAATGGAGAAACCTACTTCTTTTTATGACTCAACCTTTATTGATGGTTATCAGAAATCCAAAAGAGTTTGCTTGTAAACACAGGAGATGATGTCAATGTCTTACATCATCATAATATTCTTTCTAGTCCCAATAAAGATGTTAAGTATGTTCATTGTGTCTTCTTGGATTATTCATCATACCTTTAACTGTGTTCCTAGACCACTCTTGTTAAATAAGCTTGTCATAGTTCATACTCAACAATGGGTTACAAAGTGGGTGTGTTCTTATTTCTCTGAATGAAGGTAATCCACTTCATTGCTTACTGAAGTTGATGTACGTCAAGATGCTGTACTTCCTCTGTTTCGGTTCTCACTGTTTTTATTATGATCTAGCCGTCAATCTGTTAGAAATGATTTTATTAGTAGATATGCTGATAACGTGATTATGTCAACTTTCACTTAGGTTACTCTGAATTAAATGGATTCTTGTCTGTAATTCACCAGTGGTCTCTCTCTCTCTCTCTCTCTCAAATGGTCTCAAGTTAAACTCTTCTCAATGTCAGACTGTTGATTTTAGCCTCAGATGTAAACAAGACGGATTTGTGTGAGCTGCTTAAGTCCCATGATGACTGTTATAACATTTATGGTATTTCTGTAGAACATAAATCGAATGTTAACTATCTTGGATCCAGATTTACTTTTCACCTTGATTGATCTTCTCATATTTTGTTGACTTTTAAGAAAACTGAAGGTGTCTGGTATAACTCAACCTCTACTTTTTTTTAAATTTTTTTATTAGTCCCTTGGGTTCCTAGTGGAACATAGGGCTTCAGTAGCACGCCTCTAGTGACCTCTGTTCTCTGAGATCTTTTGAACCTGGTCCCACGACAGCCCACAAGCTCTCATTTCCTGCTCGCATGACCTCCTCCATGTCACCCTCGGACGTCCAACTCGTCGCTTCCCATGGGGATTCCACTCGAGGGCCTGACGCGTGATGTCCTCCGTCGGCCTTCTCAGTGCATGGCCAATCCATCTCCACTTCTTCCTGCATATTTGTTGCGTGATAGGTTCTTGGCTGGTTCGTTCCCAGAGTTCCTTGTTGCTTATTTTTTCTGGCAATCCATCTGATCTTCAGTAGCGAGCGTAAGCAGTTGTTGATGAATGTCTGTAGTTTATTGGAAATACCTTTCGTGACGCGCCAAGTCTCTGAGCCATACAAGAGCACTGACTTGACGTTGGTGTTGAAAATCCGTATCTTGTTCCGCATGCTGAGTGCAGAAGATCTCCACACTGGTTTCAGGCTAATGAACG